CTTTCAAATAAGAGGCCAAAAAATCGAACGCACAGATCATCCGGATAGCAAAGCCCACGGCGGAACGGAAGTTCTAATCAAAGAACGCATCAAACACCATATTCACAAAAGGTTTGCAACAAACTTCTTGCAGGCCACATCCACATTCTTGTGGGCCAATAGAAATACAGTCAATTAACGGAAGCCCTTGGTTCACAGCTGAGGTACATCCAGAGTCTTTCGCCAATAAATACAAAGTATACCCTATGGAGCGCCCACCCAAATCTTAGCGCCCCAATTAAATTATTAGTTAGTGTCTAAGCAACCGAAGGATCATCCAGATCGCCCAAAACAAGGCCCTAAGAACTTTAACTGGAGCTCATCCGTTCCACGACAATGCGACAATCCACGCCCAACTGAGAGTCCCATATGTGAGCGAAGAAGTTCAGCGATTCGCCAATAGGTACGTGGAAAGGCTGGACCGACATCCTAACCCTGAGGCCATCAATCTTTTGGACAACAGCTACACCACAAGGAGGCTGAAACGGACCCACCCATTGGACCTCTGCCACTCGGGCGAAATAACTTGAATTCTATCGCTAAGGTTTACTGTTAAAATTAGTTTCCTAGGATAAGCAAACATTGTACTACTCAATATTTCATTAAGTTAAGGTCCCATTATAAAATTTAATTATTGTCCATATCTCCGGACAGATTTTAAATATAACTATTGATTGATTGATAATAAAAAAAAAAAAAAAAGTTAGCGCCCCAACCGCACCGATATGAAACTCTTTGGGATGTTGGGACCCCAGCGAGAGAGGCAGAGCTGAAACATTCGCTACACATCTCCAAAGTGTCTTCCAACCAAACCCTACCTCGAATTCATTCCTCCTGCCACTAATTCAGTCAGATTCAGTCAAAAGCTACTTCGCTGCTAGGGGCTAAAACCAAAAAGGGCTTCCGGTGGTGACCTACTGACGCAAAAGATATTAATCAATCGCAGTCTGTAAACTAATCAGTGGGATCATTAAACTTGGCAATTTCCCAAAAAAGTGGAAGCCGACATCATACATATATAAGCCTCTGTGTAATTTTTTTGAAATATGCTTGCTAACTCTCATAATACCATATCTGTAAGCTTGCAATATTATCCCGGCACGGAAATTTGGCTTCCGAGGAAACCATGGATACATCGAGAAAGTGAACAGATGAAAATCTGAAATACCCTCAGCCATCGAACAGCAACAATACTATTTTTTTGACGTATCTCAAGATTTTTAGTTTGTCTTAATGGATTCATGCACAAATTCAAACCAAATACACCCACAAGCTACTTGAGTCGTACCTCTACAATAAGGTATACTCTGAGATGCAACGCAGTAACTTCAGGCGACTACGTCATCGAAGCTGAAGTTTTACAAGGAAACGCACTCGGCTCTTGTCTATATGTTCTGTATACTAGCAACGTCAACGTTCGCCGACTATACCGCTATCCTTTGTCGCTCCAGGTGCCCAACTCGAGCAACAAACCAACACGCTATTCATTTTATGGTAGTGGAAACAGGCTGTTTAATGCACTAGTCTGCATTAAAATACACGAACAAAAGTGTAATCACTTAACGTTTTCTATTAATTTCCTCTGCTTTCCCTAAATGGTATGCAGATCCTCCAAGCTAACAAAGAAACGACCTAGGCGTCCACCTCGATAGACGACTAACCTGACGTAAGCATATCGAATGCAAGATGCACCTAAAACTAAAAGCTAGCCGGCTCCACTAGATCATAAGCTCAAGAATGCCACTGTGGCACATGGTACATGGTACTGCTCTACAATTCAAATCTTAAATCAATCTGGACGTATGGCTCCCAGCTGTAGGGAAACGCGAGCAGCAGCAACATAGACATCATACAGTGCGCACAATCAAAAATCTTGAAAACTCTCACTGGGGTATCTTGATATGTTCGGAACGAAAACATACACCAAACAAAGAAAAACTGTCTTCAAATTTCCTCGATCGGGGATTGACTCGGGTTTCCAGGGATATCGTCAGCGACTCAACAACGTTCCAACCCACCTCCTTGTACTCCTTCAGTTGTTGGTGTTAACAACGATTTTCTTTCTCCATTTCAAGAAGCCTTTTCCTAAGGCTCTGGTTCTCAACCAGTATTGTTTTTCCTAATATTTTGTCTCTTTCTGTGCATATGTTCCTATTATTTTTCTTTATCTACAATTATACTTGTTATAATACAGTCCTTGGGTAATCCAATTCTCTGTGAAAATGCATAAACGTTCAATGGCTTACTTTTTTTAAATGCTGACCACTATTTGGAGTCAACTTCTAATGAGTATGCCTAAAATGTGTTTCTCAAATTTTGTAAAAACCGCCGAGTTTGTTTGTTTTTGTTTTCTTTGCCCCCTTGCAAATCCTTCCATAACGTTGTTTTTTTGTAGAAATTTTGGTGCCTTGATAAATTTTACACCATTTACATATTTTCGGCATACATTACAAAAAGTATTGTTCATAAGGGATATGGCTAGAAAAAAATTATTAGCAGACAACCTTTCCTTACGAAAGACGAATACGTATTGAGGCGCTTTGACATCTGAAGAGACTATCTTTTACAATTTTATTGAGAAAACCACCATCATTTTATTCTCTTTGGGGTGCCTCACATGCCTGTTTTGATTGATTTCAAAAACACCGACAATCTTGCCACTTTCTTTGCAAAAACCTGAAATAAATCTAAGCTTTTATGTGAAAAGTTCTTTTGATCCATAAGGAGTGTTAAGCTTGTGACCAAACTACTTTAAAAAATAATTCATTCTGTGGAGTAAGAGTGGAGTAAAATTAAGACATAAATAAATTAAGTAATAATAAATAATAATAATAACAATAATAAATAATTAATAAGACATAAATAATTAAAGACATAAGACATGAAATAAATTAAATTAAAATTAAATTAATTAAAATTAAAATTAAGGGAAATCATTAGCCTTTTATACATTAGGCCAAATAACATCAGAGTTTTTTAGTTTAAAAATAGGAGGTACAAGTTAAAAAATAACATCTATTGAATGAAGTTAAAATTTATTTCTAACCTTTATTATTAACTTAATTTTTCATTATATTGCATTTTAATCAATGTTCTTCTCAATAATTACTAAAAATAATAACAAGCAATATTCATTTTTATAAGGCAATATGGCAGCATTATTGAACAATTTCTGTGGCACAACGATAATTTTTTAATATTTTTTTTGCCACCCCTGATTATTATTTTTTCTATGTGCTCAAAGAGTAATATTATGTGTTACGGAAACTTTTTGATTTCACTTTTTAATATTTAAAATAATTAAAACAAAAATAAAATAAAAAAGAGTTTTGAGAGTTTTAAACAAGAGTTTTTAAACAAACAACAAGAGAAACGCGACTTTTTTAACTTACGTCGAAAGGCTTTAAAATCATAATATACAAAGTAAATTCTGTGACATACACTTGTGAATTAAAAATTTTCTTCTTCTATTTACGGTGCATAACTAAAATATTAAACATCCGACTTTAAAATATAAAAGCTTAATGAACTAAATCAAAAGAAATTCATTTTAACGGTATAAAAAGCCTAATACCTCAAATAAAAAGTTTTGGAAAAGAGAGTGCAAAACTGTCACATCTAACATTCTTTAAAGTTTGCTTTGGCATTTTTTTCTCCGTGTCTCAAATGTCTTCAACTTTTCCAAAAACATAGTAAATTTAATAATAAATAAAATCTTCTTATTTTAACCTTGTCATATTGACTGATACAGAATTAGACGGGCCTATAAATTGATTGCTGGCGGGATACGCTGGAAACTCGAGTCAATCCCAGAGTGAGGAAATTTGAAGACAGTTTTTCTTTGAAGGACACTTTCTGCTCGCGTTCCCCCACAGCTGGGAGCCATACGTCCAGATTGGCTTAAGAATTGAGTTGTAGAGCAGTACCATGTAATCCAGGCACAGTGGCAATCGTGAGCTTATGATCTAGTGGAGGCGGCTATCTGTTTTAGTTGCATCTTCTTGCATTCGATATGCTCATGTCAGTTTAGTCGTCTAGTCGCCGGTTACTTCGATACCTTATGGGCTCTGCATACCGTTTAGTGAAAGCAGAGGGCACGTTTGTCCATTACGAGTAAACGCTACATGTTTACAGTTTTGTTCGTTTATTTTAAAGTGAAAGTCGGATAAATAAAATAAGAATAAGTTTTTGAAAATACACCAATACGAACATAAAAACATACCTTTGAAGTTAGATTGTTGAAATCGTGTTACAGTTTTGCTCGTCAGAGTATGTACATGTATGTATGTATATATCAGGGCGGCCCAATGTCATTGCTCTCTTTCCTCCTTTGTCGTTGGATTGCTCTTTCATATTAAATATGCAAAGTCATATATATATAGTAAATGTGTGACTCCTAGCATAACCAAAGCGCAATTTCAATCCGATTTCTTGTTGAATACATCTCTTTTTTTAATTGCTTTCTATTTAAAATGTGTTTTTTATAATAATGATATTTTTTTTAAACCCCTTGTGAAAGATACTATAATTTTTTTAGTGTACCGACATGAAATGCAAAAAAAAATTTTCGCACTAATTTATTGATAATTTTTTGCATTAGTTTGGGAGTTCGCTTGTCGTATGCAGAGCTTGGGTACTTCTGGAATATATATTTAGATCTCTCTGACATTCTCATTTTATAATTTACGGTGTTGTTCCGCAATCGATGCAAGAAGAACACTAATCTGTAATTCCTGGATTTTTTATGCACATCAGCTTTTAAGGATGATTCTGTTGCATGTTCCGCTGAACACAGAAAGTTAACTTTTTTTGATGTGGCTTTTAAGATTCCATATACTACAAGGGACAATTTTAAACATGTCTGGAATGAATATATTAATATTTTTATATATTAAACGAGAGAAGTGTAAATTTGATACTTTGTGTTTCATTTCAAAATTCCTAAAGATAAAATAAATTTGCAGGCTATGGTGTGTTTGTTTACAAACTACAATTTTAGAAAAATTATTTTCTTATATATCTTCTGTATTTATTTAACAGTAAGTAAACAACATAGATTTTTTAATGTTTAATGTTTTCATACGGTATATATTAAGGTTTTACTTATTTAGTATAGTTTTCATATAATTGTAAATCGGGAACCTTAAGAACCTGGTCGTCATCGTCAAAACAATGTCAGCGCCATAGAAATATTTTAAATAGATGGAATTTATAAGTGAAATCTAATCTTTTCTGGTTTATAGGCTAGTTTATTATTATGTACATATGTATGTCATCAAACAGTCTGTATACTTTTTTTATCCTTGTTTTTATCATTTGGCGCTGGCAAAATTGGATTAAAAAATCGAATAATACCGGAAAGAAAAGGTATGCCTGAGCCCAACAAATATTAGCCAGTAAGATACACACGAGGTCGGAAAGTGAAAAAAACGAATATATTGACAGACAAAACCGTAGTCAGGAACTTTGAGTTGGTCAAGTAGCATTTGATCTTGCCGTTCAAGAGCCCAGAACTGTTTTTATACCCTTGCAGAGGGTATTATATGTAATTGTGGTCAAAAGTGTGCAACGCAGTGAAGGAGACATCTCCGACCCTATAAGGTATATATATTCTTGATCAGGGTTACCTCCTGAGATGATATGAGCATGTCCATCCGTCTGTTTCTACGCGAACAACTCTCTCAGTTTTAAAGCTATCGACTTGAAACTTTGCACACACCTTTCTTTTCTTTGCACGCAGTATATAAGTCGGATCGGCCGGGATCGGCCGTCTATATCCAATAGCTGCCATATAACTGATTTGACTTGGTCAAATCACGGTTGGTGGTTCGTGTAGAAATTAATGTCTTTAACTGCATACAAATATTGACGTAATTTTTCTCGCGCCCAGACTATGGTCACCAGCTCATTTTCGTTGGTACCATAGTTAACTTCTCTGTCCTTTAATGTTCTAGAGATCATAGTAATGGGACGCCCCTCTTGGGATAGCACTGCGTCAATGCAGCTAAGGCATCTGTCGTTAGATCAAATGCCTCTTTGTAATCGGGGTATGACAGGATGACATCCTCTGAAGCCAGGATGTTGCGCAGCTTTTTGAAAGCCAGCCGTTGCGGCTCGCTAAGCTGTACCTGGATGTTTCTGGATCTGTATCTGCTGACATTTCCATGTGCCCCTTTTAAAATGCTCGAAATGGGGTCAGCTATTGACGCAAAATCTATAATAAAGCATCTATAATAGCTAGCCAAGCCCATAAATGACTTGACTTCAAACACGTTTTTAGGCTCCGGGAATTCCTGGATGGCTCTGACTTTTTCCGGATCTGTAGAAGTCCCATTGCTAGTGACTATAAACGCCAAAAATTTTTTTGAAAAAGCTTTTTTTGAAAAAGACCAGTCTACATCGTCGACATGGACATAGCAAAATTTGCCAATGTGCTTTCGCAGTATGTCGTGGATGGTTCTTTTTAAGATGATGGCAGCATTCCTCAACCCTCGACTTCTGGATTATGCCATTTTTTAGCAGGTCCTGAATTTCGCCATTGACGAAATCGGGTGGTTTCATTGGTTGCGGGTACGTTCTGGCATAAATGGGCTCCACATCAACTTCCTGATGGTGGCCACCACCGACGTGTTGTAAGGTAGGGCCTCATTTGGGTTTGCGAAGGCATTTTTCCTGTCGCTTATCATTTTTGAAAATGCTTTCCTGACTGAAGGTTGAGTATTTGAGCAGTCAACTTCAAAAAAATTAACGTTGGGGCATGAGTGGAATTCTAGCCTTTCTACTTCGGAGCCCCATTTGAGGTGGCCGGAAGCTAGGCAAAGTGATGCCCCTGCCTGTTTTAACAGGTCAACGATGATGATGGGATCAAAGGAGGACAAATCTGGTAAGATGAAGAACGTGGCCTTCAAGTTGAATAGGGATATGAAGCATTTTTTGTGGTGGTGGTGACGCCATGGATAGAATGTATCGAAAATGGCGAATCTACTGGGCGGATGCCTTTTAATCTTTCGTATGGACGGATGAAATTTTTTGACGCGCCAGTGTCTATCACAAGCTTCATTTCGACCCCGCTATTCTTCCCCGCAACCCTCTGCCTTTGCGCGGGCCCGATCTTCCTGTTTAGGCATGTTTAGGTTCTTGCGCCTTCGGATATTGATTTTTATCCCTGTCCTCCTGGCTTATCGCAAGCGAAGCCGCGAAGGAGTATTTTTCGTGTTGGACTCCATTCTTGAGCCAAAGCGAGGGCTGATTGCATATCCTTCGGCTTTGCCGAAAAGAGGACATCCGTGAGGCTGCGCTTGAGTCACGACATAACTTTTGTCGGCGACGCTGCGTACGACATGGTGGCTTTGTTTGTGAACAAGGTGAGTTTTTTCTCGACCTCGTCATACTATTGTCAGATATTAACCGCCTGGCGTGATAATGGCGTGAGCTCTTTACATAATTCCTAAAGACATAAGCGGCTACTGCTGCTCCCGTAAATTCGAGCAGGCACTTGACGGCATCTAGGGGCTCGTCACATTTGACGTCTCTAGTTTCTATGGGTTCATAGACTTTAATTTGGGGAGCTTCCGCTTGGGCGGGAGCGATTAGGACTGCATTGACCTATGCGGTCAGTGAGGGGGCCGCGGGGGCTGAGCCGCCGCTTTAGTTAGGTGTGCGAGCTCGTAAAACTGCGCTGTTGCCTTGCCAAATATACAGTGATGGAAAAAATAATAGAAACGAATTGTCACTTTGGGTTTAAATACATATTTTTTATAAGGAACGTGTAATGAGTGGAAACTTCATTTTTTCTTTGATATACATATATACATCTATCTTACATTCTAGAAAACAGAAATGTATTTAGTTTTATTCATTTAGCTAAAAAATTATACTAAAGTTTAATTTTATGTTTCTGACCTAGAAATAAAAATAGAAACAAAATGACTAATCTTTTTCCAAATTTACTAGTATAGCAAAATTTACCATGAAATGTTTTCAGTTTTAATACTTTGTTGCGTTACCATAGTTTTTCAAAACTGTAGCACACGAGGCTCCTTTTTCGACTTTCTTATAAGGGTCGTGTCAAATTTTGTGGAAGTTGCCACGCTTTTCCTGTTCATCTGTATAGTGGATAGCTAAGCTTTTTTTTTTGAGCATTCCAATAACTTTTCCCATGGATTGGACTTCTGCTTTAAATGTTAGGATTAGATTCCTCTCTACTGAGGTGCAATGTGGTTCACAACCCATTTTGAAGCTTTTAACAAAATTAATTGCTACGTTGTACAAAAAATTGCTATAATAACACTCCTTGTAATAAAAATATTCAAAACAATACCTTTTATTTTAATTTAAACGAATAATAACCACAGATTTTGACAAAATACAAACGCGTTTCTATTATTTTTACCAACCCAAACACGAGGACTTCTGACGAATTTCCATGAACAACGAAACTGCGGACGAAAACCGTTCAAAAAAAAAGATCGTGACCAAGTTATCCATTATCCACGTTACCAACACGTTTCGCGTTTCTATTAATTTGTTCATCACGGTGCGCGGGTACTGAGCCTCCGCTAGGGCAAACAAAGAAAAATAAAAACAACAAAATGCCACACAATGCATGCGCGGCCGTACCGTGTTCCCGAAAATGGAGTGGGGAGACAAAACGGAACAAAAAAGTTAATAGCCAAGACTGTGCAGCTAATACCAAGAATTCTTGCATAACAAAAGAGACATACATACATACATAAGCTGGATTAAATGCACAGAATTATATAAATTATTTTTGGTGGTAAATTAAATTTTAAGCTAGCGGATATTTTGCCCTGGTTAAAAATTTTTTTATTTCGCAACTTTCTGTGTTGTTGTATAAAAGTATTTTATTTATTTGTTCACAAAAAAAAGTAATTCAAACAATGTGGGAAAGTAAATATCCCGAAAATGTCATATATAAAATTATATAAAAATAAAATAACCACTAACTAAAATAACTAAAATTAAATATGTTAATATTAAACCGTCTACTAATTAATGAGAATTATTTAATTTATATGAATTGTTAGTGGGCTTCAGATTTTCTCTGGCAGTGTGAGGGGCAAAATTTTACTTTTACTTTTTTTACGCAAACTTAATGCAGACGTAGAAAATTTTGTGATTAAAAGTGCTCACTTGATCTTTTACTGTGGGCGCCAATTCCTTATATAATGGGGATATTAGGGTTATGATTAATTATATTTATTCATCCCTCGCTGCAGTCGGTGAAGTCACAGGCGCGGGTGTCCCTGGCGGTTGCCGAGGGGGTTGCATCCCCTTGTAGGTAGTAAGCGATGATTGGATCCCTGGCGGTTGCCGAGGGAGATAACTTCTATGACAGGAATTATGGTGGGAGCACTGGCTTCATTATCACGGCCCTTGAGGCACGGTGACCAATTCAATAAAACGAATTTACTTTTACGGCAATGCAGGAGAATGGCTTGAGTACTTCTTTATTCAGTAAAGCTCGAATACAAACTGAAACTTAACACTAACAAAAATGGATCTCATAGCGGCCACGCAAATATGCAGTGATAGCCGGCTATCTATGGGCATTCGGCCTGACGCTGTCTCAGCAGTTTGGCCAGAGCGAGCTCTTAGATAATCGGAAATTGCCGTTGCGCGGTTAATTCAGTTAACTTATAGGTCAGCACACTTACATTGATATGATTTTAATGCATTGGGATTGGTACTTTAAATTTTAACTTTAACCCCACCGGCAGAGCTCGATTTTTTTAGTACTGAAGCTCCCTAAGAACTCATGACGCTACCTTTTCAGGGCCGTTTCGGCATACATATTGTGTTCGAAAAACAAACATCATATCTAAACGAAGTAGGCGCAGCAATTCGGCCGGCCCCATGATAAAATTATATAAGGTAGTCCATTCGGCTGTCAAAGTTCGAGCTTTGGTCTCTTAGTTTCAGTTCCTGCTTGTCAAACTGCAGTAACCGTTAAGTGGCCAAGCAAAGAAATGACTTTTTGAAGTTCTTGTCGCAAGCACGTGCTAGGCGTAAAGTTTTCTTGTCAAACCTAAAAAAACGTTTAGCCCCATGCGATTATTATATTCAACTTATATTAATAGACTCTAATTCTGCCGAGTGGAATATCTTTTATAATTGCATCATGGCCGGCCCTCTGCTACTCTGAATTTTAATGCGTATTCGATATTTGATACAAAACTACACAGTTTTGTAGGCATTCAAAATTTTTTACGCGCAAAACTTACACCGCTTGGGTCGATGCACTTTAGAATAAAAGGCCGTTTTTTGGCATATTCTCGAATTTCGAATTTTGTTGTTTTTGAAATTTGACGCGTATTCCTGCCGCCTACATCAAGAGTGGGCCATATTTCCATTTTACATACTTTTTACATAAACCTCAGTTTTCCATAAAAAAAAACCTAAATTTTTAGTAAATATGGTTCCATTAGTTTTAAAATTTAATTTAAATTTAGAGAGGCTGTTAGAGCTCTCTAACATTTAATTTAAACCTTTCGGTTAAAAAGACTTCGTGGAGCGCTACACGAGAGAACTCATAAACACCTGCAACAAGTTTTGTTTTTTTGAAGAGAGTCAAAAACCATTACTAAAAATTGATTTAATAGTAAGTTGTTAAAATCATGACATTTTTACCTCTAAGGCACTTGGAGGCACATAAAAGAAAACACATTTACTTTGGTTAGAATAGCCTAGAACAGGATAGGATATAGAAACCGTCGCTTTTTTATATATTTTTTATTTTTTTTCTCGGTCTTTCAGAATTTGTAAATGCCTTGTGCATCAATAAGAGCATCAGCTAGCATTCCTGTATTCATCATAAAGCTTAGAGGCCCAGACGACCGAGGGGCGCTCGAGAAACGATTTGTTATATTAAGCTATTTGTAATTTATTAAGCTAGGAGGAATAAGTAAGGAAATTTAAAATTCTATATTTTAAATTTGAGGGACAGGAAAGAGATGCTATAGAGTAGAGACCATTGTAGTTCGAACATAATACCCTAAAAGGGTCATGCTAAGGAACAGAGGACTAAAGTTTCGAGTCCTTCTATTAGGAATGTTAAATTTTAAGCGTGTTAGTAAATGCTGGCTATTTACATCCCATTATAAGTTTATCACACTTTATTTACATTGGTTAACCCATTATCTACATTATAAGTTTATAAGTAAAAGTTTGCTACTAGGATGTAGGATGCAAAGTAGGATGGAAGCCGAAGATTTGCATCCCAGTATAGAACTCTAAGTGCGAATATTAAAAAGTTCTTTTGTACGGATTCCTTGCGGTCCTTATGTACTCCATATGAGGGACTCCAGACACATAAACCGTAATCCAGTATCGGACGGACCAACGAAATAAATAATGTCTTGGTTATGTAGTATGGTTTTATTGCAGAGGGCAAGAACGATAAAAAGACATATGCTTGCATTTTGATCGATTAAGTATTAGAACCGAGTGATATGTCAAACATGGGTGCGGAGAAGTCGTGGTGCGTGATAAGTTATCGACATTAGACCACTTTAGTTCTTTAGTCTCACATAGGTACCAGCTGGTCACGTTCGAATATAAGATTATAAACGGATTGAATGGCGAAAAAGTGTTGCCAGGGTGTGGGCAGTTTGGAGAAAGGAGGTATGTTTGAATATCTATTATATATTACAAAGATTTTCCGCACAAAATGATGTTAATGCAAATAAATTCTATATCACCAATCTTGTGATTTTACCTCTTCAGAAGCAAAATTGCAGTCAACCAAAATGAAGACTTTTCCCCAACTTTGCAGAGGATGATCAGGTCTATAAAGACCACCGGCTTTAATCAGGTTTCTTTAAATACTATAATATGTATTATAGAAGAACACGTGCACCTAATATATTTATATTTTTATTTACTTATGCCTCCACCTTTATATCGGCTTTTGATTTTCCTTTTGATGCGATATCAATCTCTGAAGTATCACGAGCAAGCCGAGAAACAACTATATGTTTCGATGGAGGGATCACCTCTAGGGGTTTCGGTGTAGTAGATACGAAAACTGCAACTCCAGACGGTACCGGTTTCGTTCAATTGGATATCGGATATATGGGACAAATGCACATTTATAAGGATTGTGCCAAAAAGAAACTGCACACTTTCAATTATCAAAATCTTTCAGTGGAAGCTTTTGATCATGGCATGCGATGTACCGTTTAAAAGCTATATTAATTCTGAGCAAGTTCACCAAAAAATTGTGCACAATTACTGCACAGAAAACGGTGTTTCGTACCGAAATTTTGCAAAACGTCACAAAGTTAGTGTCAACTTTGTAACTTGTAACTTTGTAATATTTTTTAAGCAAAATATTATTAAAAAGTTTGGTGAGACATACTCTCTAAAAGATTTGCGAAAGAAAAAGAGAAAAAGAGGTCCAAGGGATGCCAGCGTCGATAAGAAGGTGCTGGCCTTAATTCTAATTTGAAATTTGGCCAAAAAAGCGCGTACGAGAACAATTATGGTTCAACCCATAAAACAACGGTATGGACTAAAGACGTATAGAAAACAAAAAGTTCCAAAAAAAAGTCATCGTCAACAAGAAGTCGGCAAAACGAGAGTGCGCCGAACTTATAATCGCTTGCTCATTGATGCAGTGGATTGCGTTATAACAGAAGATGGACGACATGGACTACATATGTAAAATTGGCCTCCAAAACTTTACCAGGCCCCCAATTTTACACAAAAGCCAAAATATCAAGTTTGTTTCAAAAAAAGGGAACCCACAACATTTTTCAGAGCTGCGTCCCATTGAGAGATATTGGGTCATCTTTAAGCGAAATTTAATAAAAATTAAAAGGAGAAAAAGGAGAGTTTGCGGAACCTGATAAAATGTAAATTTTTTTTTAATTCTGTTTATAAAAATTGACCGTTTAAGTTTTGCTTAAGAAAAAAAAAATTAAAATAGAATAAAATACATGAAAGTTATTGTAGACAGCTAATATTCTTTTCGGCACATTCCTTATCAAAAAATTCGGACGGCGTTCTAGCCTCTTAGTTCTAGCCCTTGGGGTAGCGAGAGATAAAAGCGAGAGATTCACTCAGTTCAATGAGTGAACTTCAGTTCAGTGACAGCTAAGCAGGCTAAAGCGGATCACTAACAGTGAATTTCAATTATTATTTGGCGACTCATTTAGCAACTGAAGGCCGCTAAGCTGAGCGTCAAGCGCGCAGAGTTGGTCATTGATTTTGCGTTAGTCAGTAATTAACCCTTTAAATCAGACGGCCCTATCCCGAGGGCATAGGAAATTTCTCTGCCCGAGCTCTGCCACACACACACACAGTATAAATTTGTAAAACGTCATGGTCACAGCCTACTTTCTGCTATTCTTTACTAATACTAATGCTTAAAAATCATATCAATGTATTGGGTGCCTACCACTGCTTTAAATCCTCCCTTAATCAAATCCCTTAATCCCGCAAAAACTAATCCCTTTATCGCGCAAAAACTATTACAGCGATAGTCAAGACCAGCCCCATAGAAAATGGCATCCGAAATTGAGGCGTGTGCGACGTTTTCACATAACCAGCAGTGGATAGTAGGCTGGGATCAAGAAATTGTCTTATTACAAGACAAATGAGTAGACCATCTTAGTGAGAGTGAGAAATAACAGATTGCAACGTTGGTACGTTGGTCGTACTAAAATTAATTTACAGTAGAAAAGTAAAGTCTAATGAAAACACTACTACAATAACTTCGTTACAATAACTTAGTTGAGACGATTACTACGTATATGTCGTTGCAGTGCGCTTTGAATAAGTTATAGCTTTGATCAGTTTCAGTATCGCTGTGGACATTAGCCTCTGAGTCCGTCGCCAATCTATAGCAAAGTGGAACGTTACCATAACGCCAATGTGTATCGCACAGTAATATTTAACTGTGTGATTGTGGTATAAAATGCTATGTCGTGTAATTTAAGTGTCGTTGGCATAATTTCGACGCTATTCTATTCACTGACCACGCTGTTGTGGCTTTGCTGATGCGGATTGGGATGATCCTCGATTGACCTCTCGTATATATGCAGGTCGGTTGCCAGTTCACCGTACTCCGTCATATCGTCAAAGTCGAAGATCTCGTTTATCCTAACTTTTTATTGTCGATATTTTGTATTGATATTATTGTCAATGTAATAGTAAACGTATAAAGCATCGTAATATGTGGCCGCACCGCCACACACTGTCGACAATTGATGAGATTTTTACGGTCCAAGAACTTAAGGGCACCTCTTCTTGGGACGCGAATTCCAAAATTATCGCATTCTTGCCGTCGTAGACACGAGTCAGGGACAGAAGGGGCACAAGAAGTAGCGACGCGCCTCGTTGACCACCCGAAAGAAATCAGATGTCATGTTGCCCAATGGCAAATCGCCGAGGAGACAGCAAGCTGCTGAGAAGCTTACTCCGCCGTTGAGATCCAAGGAATCTGTTCGATAAACAACTTGAGCTTCGGTTTGACGATAAATCGTTTTAATGTACTTTTGAGGCTAATTATTGCAGATGCCATTGTTACAAAATTTTCTTCACATAATTCACATAATCGAGTCTTCCTTTTGTAATAAACACTATTATTTATTGAATTATTAAGGAATCCTGTAATATGTTCTTTAAGGACATTCGATACATAATTTGAAAGTTACTGCGCCACAGATCATAAATATGTTAACCGTTTTTTATTAGTCCACTTGGCGTAGAAGTTATTCGCAATCAATTTTTATTTTGAATTTTTATAATAAAAATTTAATCATAATTTTTTTTTTTTAATTTTTTTGTAAAAATGGAAAAATAATTCTTATTCTTAATTATTATTATAAGAATCGAAAATAAGAGTTACATTTCAATTTTTGTCATAAAAATCAACAAACAATTTTTATTTTATAATTTTTATTTTAAAAATTATAATAACCCTGGTCCCTGGTTTTTACCAAATAAATCAAGATTTTGAGGGTGTTACAAACATTTCAAACACTTTTTTGTACTATATTCGACCTAATAAACAATTCCTACTATGTCACTTCAAAAGTTTCTCGAATTTTTTTTTGTCCTACTTTGTAATTGTCGTAAAAAGAATCGCTCTTCAGTTTAGCTGAAGAAAATACTTCAGTATTGTCACTCCTATTTAAAATTGTTCGAACAGCTTCTACCAAAAATTAAATTTTTATTTTTGTTTTTCTTGATTTAAAGGTGTAAGGTCTTAATAAAAATACTTTTTTTTTATTTTCAATTTAGATGATACTACTAGGAGTTATGCTGTCAACGTTAACGCACCTTTGTACATGGGATCTCCGAATATGACGTCGCAGTGGCAAAGTTTTTTATTATTTTACTTTAAAAATTACAGAAATCTTTTATGTGTGTATTCTTAGAAAAATTAAAAAATGTATAAATTTTTATTATAAATAATAAAATATAGTCCTTAGTTCGCCCACTATACCCATGCGATGTCTGTGAGCTTATAGTGAGAACCGCTGCATAAAGAGTAGTAGATCCAAGATAAATTTGTGAGATAAGGAATAAGGTTAAATTACAACCAACTTTTGCGATAATACGGTAATTTCCTTTAATGATACAGTTGATATACCATTGCAGTTAAAAGCGGATATATGGAATATTGCAAAAATCGGATATAGTTGGCCGATACTTATGAGAATATCCTAATAAAACCAATTCATTACAATACAAAAAAGGAAACCTAACTTCGGGCGGAGCCGAAGTTGATATACCCTTGCAGTTAAAACCGGATATGTATCGCAAACATCGGATATTGTTGGCCGATCGTGATGAGAATATGATAATATAACCCAATTAATTACAATAAAGTATTAAAAAAAAAGTCCCAAGCTTCTTTCTTCAAAAATACCAAAGTTTGTATTTATACAAAATACCATTTCCGATCGTTCAGTTATATGGCAGCTATAAGATATAGTCGACCGATCGGTATGAAATTTGGTAGGTCGGATAAACTGATAAAAAATATAATCTGTACTATGTTCCAGCTTTCTATCTTCAAAAACAGGAAAGTTGGGTCATTTCCGATCGTTCAGTTATATGACAGCTATAGGATATAGTCGGCCGATCCTTATAAAATTTGGTAGGTTAGATCAACTGACCAAAAATATAATCTGTACTAAGTTCCAGCTTTCTATATTCAAAAACACGAAAGTTGGGTCATTTCCGATCGTTCAGTTATATGACAGCTATAGGCCGATCCTAATGAAATTTGGCATGTGGTATTATTTTGCCAAAAATATTTCTCGTTTAAAATTTTAACTCTCTAACTCTAAAAACAGCAAAGTTATACCATTTCCGATCAATCAGTTATATGGCAGCTATAGGATATAGTCGGCCGATCCCGGTCGTTCCGACTTATATACTGTGTACAAAGGAAAGAAGGGTGTGTGCAAAGTTTCAAGTCGGTAGACTTAAAACTGAGAGACAATGATAGTTTGCGTAGAAACAGACAGATGGACAGACGGATGCTCATATCAACTCAGGAGGTGATCCTGATCAAGAATATATATACTTTATAGGGTCGGAGATGTCTTCTTCACTAGGTTGCACACTTTTGGACAAAATTATAATACCCTCTGCAACGGTATAAAAAGCTACTACAAAAAGAGCTAAAAAAATTTGAGAATGCTCCCACTGTTAGTGTGACGGCAGCGGTGCGGCAGAATTTCCGACCCCATGTAATCGTGCTATGGAAAATGAAAGTTTTCCTTCACTAATTTATATTGATCCTTTACAATTCGAGTTAGTTTTCAAATACAACATCGACCAAATGGACACTTTTGTTCTTGATGACAAAAAGTTTCCTTTTTGAGCCTTTTCCATGACTTTCTCGAGCATGCGTCCGAGATGCGTCGAAAACGCCTAAAAAACTTCTGGTTTCAACGAGACGGAACCCCATGTCACACAGCAAACGGGTCCATGGAGTTTATGCAGCAAAATTCCCAGGACGCGTTGTGTCAATAAGAGGGGATATCGAGCGGCTGCTTTAACGGATTCGACCTCTCCGGACTTTTTGTGGGGTTATCTGAAGAGCAAAGCTCAAGGAGAGTATTTGCACCAAAATGGTCAATATATCGGCCTAAAAAGGAAACGTTTCTTAAGGTTATTATAGTTCTGATAAGTCATTAAAATGAATATGGGTTTAAATAAAATTTGTTTCTAAAATATTAACATTTATAAAATAAAATATTCTAGATTATTATAATTATAAGTAAAGATAAATTAAGTTAAAAAAGATTCCATAATTTGCGATTTAATAACATCTAGGGATAGTTCAGGGGATAATAAGTGGATAAATGAGTTGTAATTTTTGCAAATTATGTAAAATGGATCGTGTTCAGTAAAATTAGATCTAGAAATTGGTAACCAATGGGGCCGGAAGGATTTAGTTACTCTATTAAGAATTAAAAACATTATTTTTTTCAAAAGTAATTTTGAGTACACCTGTCCAAGAATAAGCGTATGAAGGTGCGTAACCCCAGCACAAGTACGGCGCTCTTGTAACGGAGGTTTAATAGTTTTAGCCGGCAACGATACGACGGAAGGCTAGTGACAGTATCCCAGTTTAAATTTTTTAATGCAAATAACAGAAACTGCTTTTGGACAGATTCAATCATCTTTCGGTGACCAATGTATTGCGGATTCCAAACGCACGAACAGCATTCCAGGATAGGACCAACCAAAGATATATAGAGTCATGTAGACATGTAGACATGTAGAGTCTTAGTTGTGAAAGGATCATCAAATTTTTGACCAACGTTTTATAAAAGCTCCGACACCCCAACCGTCAATAATATTTGTTCATTGAACGACAGATTATTGTCAAAAGGACTAAAAGATCGTTAATTAAGGAAAAAAGATCTAAGACGTTATTCGAGACGATGTTCGGCACACTGCAATTGAATGGCATAACTTTACACTTTTTGCAGTTAAGTAAGAGGAGATTGTTTGAACACCACGCGAAGATTTCGTTAAAGTCTAATTGCAAGTGCCTATGAAGAAAATGCTCTGAGAAAGAAAAAAATAACATCAGCATACATTAGAGGTTTGCAGGAATACATTCTTATTGCCTCAGCCACAGAATAAGTTCGATAAAATTAGAATTTATTAGTACAAGAGACTCAACGAACTGAGTGAGTGGGAGTGAGGGAGTATGAGAGCATTCTAACTCATGGGCATTCTCTTGCTTTAAAAACGAGTGAGTTGCGATAGGAAGTAAGAAGAGTGCTTTTGAAATGATGAATGCAGCCAAATGTCTCAAATCGTTTTTAACACACTCTATGCATTCATTTTTTTTCTTTTGTTGAGCAAAACGCTTCTTTTAATACTTCTTTCAATTTTCCTGAAATACTTCAAAGGGAAATATGAATAATCATCAATAATTATCAAAGGAATAATGATAGTGTTTTTTCGCGAATGTATGAATATTTTATTTATACATATGGTTTTTAACGGTTAGTATTAATTTCTTAGTGCCTTTTTTTTGGTTTTCTATAGAGTTTTTGGTTTTCTTAAATTAAATTATTTGACAAAATTATATATATTTATTTATTAATAAGAATTGACAATATTTGTACATTCTTATAAATAAAATATGTAAAATAAATTATACCAAATAAAAATGTGTATTTGTGACAAAACTATGACTTGATTCCACTTTTCAATTATTTTTATTTCAGCGTCGAAATATACAGGCATAGTTGCATAGAGACATAGTTGCAATATGCATAGTTGTAACGTACATTCTAGAATGCACTCGAAACAATTGGAATGCAATCTGTTACTCTAAGTCAGTGGGGGGCAAAACTAAAACATGTTTAAAATTTGAGTATGTGCGTAGCAGAGAAAAACAATGAGAGCAGAGAATTCACTAAGCGAAAAAAACGTATTTTTTTTATTTCTTTTTTAAAACCTTACTTGATTTCAAGCAACAAAAGTTGTGCTACAAGCGACAAAAGTGCTATAAAGTAGAAATGATGTTTTTGATGACATAAAAAGGAAGAAAAAAATTTAACATATTTTTTTTTTTGGTTTTTTGTGATGAAGCAAAAGCTCTTCTATTCTTTCGGCTTTAAAATTTTCACTTGAAATTTTAAAGGAACATTCTTGAATAGTTATAAGTTTGAATAAAATTTAAAAAAAAATCGATTTTTTTAAACCGAGAATGGGTTCGGGTCTTTTCTGGCTGACCGACCTTGCCACGTTTCTATTGGAGACGCTATCACAAGTCCATTTATCACCTCCTCTGGTCTTCCACAAGGCAGCTCTCTAGGACCACTCCTATTTATTATTTCCATTAATGACATCTCTTCATGCTTTCGTCACTCCAACTTCTTGATGTATGCAGATGACCTTAAAATCTATAAGGCCATTAGTTGCATTAGTGACAGTTACTTGTTACAGGAGGATATATCCAGAGTCTACTCATGATGCTCCCGTAATCTTCTCTCATTAAACCTATCGAAGTGTCTGTTTACCCGTTACAGTAAGCGGTCTCTTGAAATCTGCACGGGTTATTCCATCAATAATTAGAGTTTGGCAGCTAAAGAAGAGGTGTTAGACCTTGGTGTCTTATTCGACAGAAAATTTAAATTTTCTGGTCACTAAAGCGTATGCTATGTTGGGCTTTGTTAAGAGGCACGTGAACCAGTTCAAAAGTCCATACTCGAGCCTTAGCGTCTATGCTGCATTTATTCGGTCGAGGCTGGAATTTTCCTCAATCATTTGGAATCCGGATTGTAAAGTTCGGTCCAACAGAATTGAGCGACTCCAGAAAAAAATTTGCACTTCTGCCTCTAAGGTTTCAGGATCCTGTTCCTTCATACCAGAGCCGCTGCCTTCTTCTGAATGTTTGCACGTTGGAGGATCGGCGTACACTAGCAGCTTTACTTTTTTTTAACAATATATTCGCTAACATTGATTGCTCTTTTTTAATGGGACTCGTTAATTTTAATGTTCCTCAAAAGGATCTTTGTACCTTTGCCCTCTTTCGGATCAAGTGTCACAGGGCCAATTACCTTTTAAATGAGCTGATTAGGCGGGGTCTTTCTTATGTTAACTCGTTGCCGCCTAGCCTCCGAATTAAGTGGGGCTCTGATGCGGTTGTTTTTAAACTCCTTTTAAGTAGGCACTTATTAAGTTTTTATTAGTATTGTTATATTATTTATAAGTTTGTAAGTTGTTATTTTGTAGCCATGAAGGGATGTATCCGTTGGTGAAATAAATAAATAAATATCCTATTTCTGCCATATAACTGAACGGTCAGAAATGACCCAACTTTCGTGGTTTTTAAGATGATAATTTTGGTCAGTTAATCCGACCTACCAAATTTCATAACGATCGGCCGAATATATAACTGAACGATCGGAAATGGTATTTGGTAGAAATACAAACTTTGGTATTTTTGAAGATAGAAGCTTGGGACTTTTTTTTATATATTTTATTGTAATTAATTGGGTTATATTATCATATTCTCATCAGGATCGGCCATCTATATCCGATTTTTGCGATATATCCGGTTTTAACTGCAAGGGTATATC